GGACTCTCGGCTTCCTCTTCCCTCATTGGTTGGGTAGTATACAGAATATTGCAGCGTGCCACCAGCGCCATTGCCTCGGAGGAGCATTATTGACTCGGCGCTGTTTGTTGTGCAGGGAAATCGCACCGCGTTGCCGTCACCCTGCGGACGGAGGACTCGTAGACGCACATGGAGCTTTAATAAGCAACAAACAGATGGAAGTTCGCAGGGTTTAGGGCTTATTCACACGATGTCCGGATTCTGTCCGGACCAGAACCGTGCGCTCCTGCACGCAAAATGTCTCCCGATGTGTTTTATTGGCATGTCACATTTTCTCCGGTCCGGAAACGCACAAAAGCGCACTGCAAAAGCACACTGCAGCTAACATACTGACAGCCCCACTCCCAAACTTGTATTTTATTTTTTAAGATGTGACATAAAAAGAGTCCATTATATCCGGAATACCATCGTTCCAGATATCATCCCCAAACCGCTCCCGGAATACAAACTCACCATAGTGGACCCAGAAGTGTCTGTGGATGGAGGTCAGAGGTTCTCCACCTGTGTAACCCCGGGACCCACATTTGTCCTCGGTCATTAAAGGAGAACTCCGAGGTCGGGGCTTTTCCCCCATAGTTCTCCTCCGGGTAACGGGAGGACACAAACTAGCGTCCTCCCGTCACCCTAGGCTCAGTATATAGGGAGCTACAGCCCGCGGTATACTGAGACGGTATACTGAGACTGACAATTGTGCCGTATGAGGTGAGTGGAAAGCCCCTCCCCCCCCCTCATAGTTCTCCTTTAAGTCACGACCCAAGTTGCACTGCAATGGAACGCACGACATTGTGATACTGCACGTTCCGTTGCGGGCGGATGAACTGTTGGGGCGGGAGGAGCATTTGGGGTGCCACATATTCAAATGAATGGCAATGCAACGCACCTCCCGCACCAGAACGCGTAGTAGGTGCGGTTGCGTGGTACAATGCGATAATGACACAGGACTGTTTGACGCTCTGTACTAGTGCGCACGGGCCCTCAAATCACTGACAGACGCACACAACCGCACACACAATCTCACGCACTCACTCCAAAAGAAAAAAGTGATTTATTTGTATTTAAGATCTCCTCCGTCTCCCCACCTTACCAGAACTGGAGCGGATCCTCAGCCCGGGGTCCAGTGTGGGCTGCTGTGCTGTGAGGGACCTACATCCATACATGCGTTCCTTACAGCTCCCTTGCGTGTCCTTTAGAGGTGCCGGGAGGCAGAATGTGACGTCACTCCGGTCCCGGCACCTCTACAGGACACGCGAGGGAGCTGTAAGCAACGCATGTATGGATGGAGCTCCCTCGCGGCCATACCCCCGATCCCGCCTCAAGCTGACACTCGGCACCGGGCAGCATAGTTTGAATGGCTGATTGGCGCGAGAACGTTCATTGCTGCGCTAGGGGGAGGCTGAGGAGCCCCTCACCTAGAAAAGTGGAAGGCATGCGGGGACCCACTGAACACGGGGTCACCACCCACCAGTTGAGAACCAAGGATGTGAAGAACACGTCTATGGCGGGTCTAACGGGTTTAGAACCAGGAAGCGCATTCCGTCCATCATTGGGAGTCATTAGTTCCTGTTCCTGACCCGGCAGCTTTGTGTGAATTTTGTGATAATAAATAAAACCCGAGTTTCTTATAATGGTCGGTGCTGATTGTTGCTGCATTCATATTGGAGGAGAGTTCCTTCACCTCGGAGGATTTCCCTGAGCTCAGCATTTCCCCCGTTTCTCATTCTGGTCAGGTAAAGGTGGAGAATACATCTGTAGGCCGGCCCGGTGTCACATTCTGACATGCCCGCGTTGTCTCATCTGCCTCCGGAGAGCTGCTACTCCTCATGCAGACAATAATGACCTTCATATAATGAGGAGAGGTTTGATCTGCAACCCACCCGGACATGACACGGCCAGGCAGCCGGAGCTCATTGCCTACAAGCGCTCATCAAACCGACTCCACACATCGCATAGAACAGGGGCAGCCCAAGGTGAGTACGGCGGCTAGGGTGGAAATAGGGACACGGACTACAGATGGGGGGGCTGTATGTCAATATGCAGAACATTTAAGGGTAGGCTTTAGATGAAGAGGGGTATGATGGCTGTACGTGAATAGGATCATTGTGACCAGGGACAGGCTCTACATAAACAGGGACATGCTGAGGGTGGATATGAATACCATTTAGGTTAATGGGGATGACCTCTAGATTAATAGGGGTAGGCTGCAGGTAAATATGGATAGGGCCAACAGCTAGAAGGACATGCTGCAGGTAAATATGGATAGGCTTAAGATGAATAGGGACAGACTGTAGGTGAGTATTGATAGTCTCTAAGAGAGAAGGAACAAGCTTGATGTGATCAGGGGCAGGCTCTGTGTGAATAGGTATAGGCTGTATATGGGTATGGATAGGTTTTGGTTAATCAGGGGCAGGGGTGAATATGGATAGGCTCTTGGTGAACATGGATATGTTTAGTTGAATAGGATCAGGCTTTTGGTGAACAGGGACAAGCACTAGTTGAACATGGATAGGTTTTAGTTCAGTGGGGACAGGCTCTTAATAAACAAGGATAGGCTCTCGTTGACCATGGATGGGTTTTAGGTGAATATGGATAGGCTCTCGTTGACCATGGATGGGTTTTAGGTGAATATGGATAGGCTCTCGTTGACCATGGATGGGTTTTAGGTGAATATGGATAGGCTCTCGTTGACCATGGATGGGTTTTAGGTGAATATGGACAGGCTCTCGTTGAACAATGATAGGTTTGAGGTGAATAGGGTGGGGTATTGTGTGGCAATCCCACAGTAAAACTGGGTGTTGTAGTCACCCAGGACTCTCAGCCAGAGGGGCCGAGCAGTTCCAGGAAACAAAATCTTTTGCTGGGAAAGAGCTGGCTTTGCGGTTCTCCCTGGGAATTCTAGATTTGGCATTGGGATCCTGGAACTGGGAGATTTCTAAGAGAATTGGGGAGGGATGAGATCTCCGGTCCGTAGTTTAGTAGGGATGAGCACCTAATGATGGCACACCTGTGCACAGCCCTTATGAGGAGGGTGCTGGGTAATGTTCAGGGTTCCATCTGGAGGACAAGGGAGGTCTCTGTCCAGGAGTCAGGAGGACTCCATCTTGGAACCAGCCTGAGTGGCACGTCAGCTGTATACGGCCCGCGTGGGAGAGGTTTTTTGGTGATAACCTGGAGTCGGTGAGACTTGGAAAATCATTATTTTGCTGTTCTGTGTCTGGAGACCCCCTGCGAGGGAAACACCTGAGTGGACTTTTATGTTTAAAGTAATAAAAGTGGGCAAAGAGGCCCTTAAAAAGACGTGGTAAGCGAGTGCACTCCGTCCTTAAAGTGACATTAAACCCTCAGATTGTGTAACATAAACCAATACTGTAATGTGCGCCTTACTGTAATCCATGGTTGTTTCCCTTCTCTTTGCTGCTCTTCCTTTTAAATCCTCATCTCTTCTCATGCTTGGGCAGAACTTCCCTTTGCAGCTGAGTGCCTCTTCCTGTAGTGCTGACTCAGGTTGTGAACCTGCACACAGACACCATGTATCCATTTCAGAAACAAGGCAGTCTGCTGCAAAACAGAAGTTCTCCCCCAGCATGAGAAGACATGAGGATTTAAAAGGAAGAGCAGCAAAGAGAAGGGAAACAACCATGGATTACAGTAAGGCGCACATTACAGTATTGGTTTATGTTACACAATCTGAGGGTTTCGTGTCACTTTAATGCATTACTGTTTGGAGTGAATTCTCACAATGGACAGGCTCCTGGTAAATGGTTGAGTGTCACAGACGTGCACACAGAATTAGAAGCCCTTCCCACCATCTCAGCGGTCTTTTGTAGTGTAAGGGGACATAGGTCAGACGAAGTGACTGG